AGCTCCGGCGGGGGAACGTTAAAACCTGTGACCCGCAGGTGCGCGTTCGCGTGCGGGGGTTCGGGCGTCCGCTCGTTCCCTCTGTCCTGGTAGAGAGAGAGAGAGAGAGAGATATATATATATATATGTGTATATAGTATACCGTATACCCCCCAAATCCCTGTTCTAACTCTTACGGCTCCTTATATTACCGAAGAGGGGCCTCGTTTAGGGCTTTGGGATTTTGGGATTTTGTGTGGCAGGGTCTGGTAACTTAAGCATTCTTGTCTTTGGTTGGAAAGGGCGGGTTGTAGAGGAAACGATTGAGATTTCTGTGTCGAAACATACCCCAAGCAGTGCTTTTAGGACAGGTCTTCAACCTGAAGAGTGCGACGAGCCTTCTTCGCCAGTTTCATTAATTAGTGGGTTGAAGTCACAGGATGCGATAGGAGGTCTTTGCAATTAAATATGCTGCTGCGTGGTGCGCGTGGAGCAGCCTTGCTTTCTTACAGATCTCTAGTTGTGTTAGGAGTGTACTATAGGATACTGTCCGTCAATCAATACCTAGTACACCTGAATGACTTGGTGTTTGCCTTTCTCTAGCGGTCCCGTGTCAATTAATTACCGAAGACGAATTCACTGGACCTGTGTTTCAACAGCCTTCCTTGTCCACTGGTCTGTATGTGCTCTGCCGACCAGGTTATGACGGGTGTTGCTTGGTCGCTTTTGGAAGTCATTGTTTCGCTGTAGACAATACTGCTTTGGAAAGCGCTACGAAAGTAAGATTGCATATTCCCGCAAGGTTTTCTGTAACTCTGCGATCCGAGCTGCGGAGCATGACCATACCATCATGATGCAGAACAGAGTTCAGTTTCGAGACATGGCTGCCGACCTCTTCAAGAAGATGGACGCCAGCGGCTTCGGCCAAATCACAATAAACGAGTTCGAAAGCCTTTACGACGATGAGGACATGAAAGCATTCCTAGATTCCATAGAGATCAGCGCCAGCGATGCCTGGACTCTCTTTGCAAGCTTGGATCAAGATGGCAACGGCTTGATCGGCATCAACGAGTTCACTGAAGGATGCTTGAAGCTGCACGGTCCGGCTCGTTCAGTGGACTTGTATGCCCTACGTCAGCAGCACTTGAAGTTCCGCGAGCAACTTACATCCCTTGTGCAGAACCAGCACAAGATCATGGAGAAGCTGCAGACCAGGCCTTTGGTGCATACCTCCATTTTTGCAGTGTGAGAGTTTTTCCCGCAGGATCCTGCTTGCACTGGGACTTCTGCAGTTGTTTGTATTCTCCGGACTAGGCGATGCTGGATGTAGGGGTTCTAGGGCGTTGAATACGCGCTATGAAGCATGCAACTATAGGTCAAGTGCCGCCCAAAGGGCGTTACATGACAGTGTCACCTTGGAGCGAAACATCCAGCAGTCTGATGGGATCAAACATGGGTGAAGTTGCAGTGGCTTGGCAACAACCTTCCTCCCCGCCCCTGCCGATACCCGATTACTAAAATCTAAGTCTAAGTTGTAGATACCCAAGCCACTTAGCCCCTGACCTCAAAGCCCTAACCGGTAATCCTTGGGCCCTACTGTAGAGTCCAAGAGTCCAACGGACGTCGTAGGGTACTCAGCCTTTCGAAAGACTGATTCGAGGTTCAAGGCCAGAGGGGATGGCTGATAGCAGAGGGATACGGCTTAAACAACCATCAGCCTAAAAAGGGGCTTCATGTTTCAATGAGGTAAAGATGAGGCTTTCGGCGTTTTTGTTCGTGTCAAGGGTATTTCGGTACAGTGAATATCATGCTTCCGACGCGCGAATGTTCGCTTGAAATTCCATTCTCAGCTTTACATGCAAAGTGGGCTTCTCTGTCACACATCCCTGAACCGATGCGGAAACGCGTCGCCCAGCAGTATGGGACTGCTGGGTTTGCCCTTAGCCGCCTAGATCACGAAACTCAAACACTCTAGATCCCCAAGAGGGACCCAGTGTCAACAACCTGCCCCCCACCCCGCCAACGAGGTATTCGTACTTAAACGCTTTTGTTGACACCTTTCCGGCACGCTGGAGCCGGAGCCATGGAGAAAACCGAAGTCGCGCAGCTGCTGGATGAGGCACTACATAGGCAAGGCCGAGAAGAGTCTTCGGCAGAACTGAGCGGTTCAGGGCTTGTAGATAGATAGTTCTAAGGGGCATGATGGCCTTGTGGCCTTAGACGGTTACGGTGCTTCATTGTCTAGCTTTAGCTTTGGGGGTTTTCAGGGTGCATGGGAGTTAGTGTTTCAGTTCTGCTTTGGTTTTCATGTGTGGCTTCGTGCAAGGTTGAAGCTCAGGTATTGGGAAGGCTTAGGGCCGGGGTGCAGTTGGGAATTGACGGCGTCGTACCACTGAGTGTTTAGGATTCGAGATTCCCTGGACTTGAATACTGGCAAACTCTGATCCCTGACCCCAAAGGTGCCCCTAACATGATTTCCAAGGTCATGGGGCAGCTGGATGCGTGGCTCCTGCGCTTGGATAGCATCCTGCGAAGCCAGATGATCCACGAGACGACGGCCGCAGTGCAGCTCAGGACCAGTGGGATGAATTTAGTGGCCAGTATGGCTGGCGAACATTTCCGAAATCATGTTCGTCCATAACCCAAAAGGCTGCAGGTATTCAGCTGGTGCCTACCTTCGGGTCAAAAACCTGTGGGTTTTGTGGAGCCTCAGGGCAACTGCTGATGGGTCAAGCGGAATGTGCTTGTTACGTTGTAGCTTTTCGCGTCCAGTCAGGCTCATGACGGTTGTGAGATGCCGGATATGCGTGTACTAGCATTCTGGAGCTCGGTGGGTTCATAAATTTTGTACATGTTGCTTATTGTGTGGTTTGGTGCATTTGCGGTGTGGTTTCACTTGTTTTTGGCTTGTTTTTGAACTCATTCCTACCTGGCTACGCAGAACGATGCTCACTGTTTCTAAAGTCTAAAGCATGCTAAACCCGCCGCCTAAACCCAACAGTCCCGTTCCTGAGGAGCCAGGAGTATGAGCTGGCTCCGCAAAAAACGAACACGGAGCTGGACGAGGAGGCGAGTCAACTTGGTTTTGAAACTACGCAAAACATCAAAGCTGGTTGACGGACACTCTGCCTAGTGCTCGCCAGGAGCCACCAATCCTCAAGTCCGAAGCCCCAAAGCCTGGGTGTGGTGCATGTGCATGTGTGTGTGTGTGTGTGCGTGTATGCACGTTTATGCATGTGTGTGTGTGTGTTTGCATGTGTGTGTGTGCATGTGTGTGTGTGTGTGTTTGTTTGTGTACGTGTTTGTGTGTGTGTGCGCGTCTGCATGTATGTAAGTAAATATGTATGTATGTATGTATGTATGTATGTATGTATGTATGTATGTATGTAAGTATGTAATTATGTAATTAAGTAAGTAGGTAAGTATGTATGTAGGTAGGTAGGTAGGTAGGTATGTATGTATGTAGGTAGGTAGGTAGGTAGGCATGTATGTATGTATGTATGTATGTATGTATGTA